AGTTATGGGTTAAGACTTAAGACTTGTTTATAGTTAGACAAAACTAAGATTAGGATAATATATATATATATATATATATATATATATATATATATATATATAAGGATAAAATCTAAGGACAATCTTAGCAAATGGGAAGAAGAATATAATCCAAATTGGACGAGTGGCTAAGCATTGGTGTAATATCCAAATTTGTTTTCTGGATTGATTAATATGCATTGTTGGATAGCTTTGTTTGATTCGGATAATCCTTTTTATAATATTTCTTAAGGAGTACGTGCTGGGTGCGGCCTCCGTTTCGCACAATCAAAGTCAATTGTGGTGGTGCTTGGGTTAAAGAAACTAGGAAGGGAGGATATGGTTGGGTTGTCCGTGATTTTGCAGGAATATTCAAAGGAGCAGGTGGCTTAGGAAACATCCTCTGTGAGTTCAGTCTGATGGCAGAGGCCGAAGTGATATGGGCGGTTTGATAGCTAGCATGGAACAAGGATTTGATTTGGTTCAATTGGAAAAGGACTCCGAAAGCCTTGTGGAAATGCTTAATAGGATCATGCCTTCTAATGGTGTTATTGGAGGTATTCTCTTTGATATAAAATGTATTTAACAACCACTGAAGTCAGTAGAGTTTAGTTTTGCTTCGAGTATGTAATAGGGTAGAGCATCTAGTGGCATTGTTTGTTTCTTGAATGAGTGATCTCCATAGTTGGCACTAGTTTGAACTGGAGTGGTTGTTTAATACTATAACTTCCGATGTAAATGTTTCTATTCAGATTTAATATTATTTCACTTTTGACAAAAAAAAAAAAAAAAAAAAAAATCACAAGTAGCCACTTAGTACTATGGTCTAGTGATATTCCTCTTCACTTATAAGTGAGAGGATTTATGTTCGATTCTCGCCAAATGCATGTTTGAACCACATTATTATGGCAAGTCCATTGTAAGACTTAGCTTACTCCCCCATCTTCTAGTGTAGATACTATTGTTTATTCAAAAAAAAAAAAAAAAAAAAAAAACCTTTCACAAGGAAACTTTCAGAAGTGTAGTCAAGTTTATCGATGTATATCAACAACCACATTAATTATATATCCTAAATTGTCGATCAAAGTATGGACAATATCAACAAAATGAACGTGTATCAACGACATATTCACATATTAATTTGGGAGAAAAATATTAGAGAAATTCTAAGGGGATTCTCTCAAAAATAGGATTATTGCCACTTTATATTTTTTGCATAATATTTTATAATGTTAACACAAAAATTAACATTAAACTATAAATAGCAGAAAATCTATAAAAAAAATTTACTTTGAGATAATCTACTTAACGTTTATGAAAATATTATAAATTAAAAGAAAAACTAATGAAAAATGTTTGAAAACTTTGAGTTTTAACCATAAGTACAAAATAAAAGGTAAAGTGAATAGTACTAGATTGACTTTTTAATGTAAAAATGTGATTTTTACGTTAAGGTAAACAGTATCAAGAATTTTTCGTTAAAGTTCCCTAAATTAAAAAGTAGACAGTTCTTCTTTTAAGTGGCCATATACATTTGCTCCAACACATAATTTGAAATTAAGTGGTCGGTTTCTCTATAATTAGTCCACATGTGCACTGTCCACACACGTGTATTTGTCATCACAATAAAGATTAGTAAGATTTTATACTTATTTAATCAAAGTACCAAATTTCACATGCCCCTTTCCTTTCTTAATTATTCGTTTAATTATGCTAATTAAGGTTTTGGGTCCAAGAACCAACCTTATCGCCGGTGCACCCGAAAAGGGTCCCCAATCTTTACTGCCTATCTTCCAAAGTAGTCACCACTCTTTTCGTTTTTTATCAAGTCGTATCTTTCTCTCTCATATTTTACAAATATTTGAAGCCATTTGTTAAGCTGGGATCCTAAATATAAAATATAATAAAATACAAATTGTTAGAAAAGTAATGATAATTTTAAGTTAATTTTGCTTAATTAGTGATGTGTTAGCTTAAGCATTGATTCATTTCATCTGGCCTTTATATATGTGCTTGTAAAGGCTAAAGATCGAAGGTAGGGTTCCTCGAAAGAATTGGTAGAGAGTACATTGAACATGGGATCTAATTTCTATAAGAATATTGGGATGGCTTTAAGCTACGTTTGTTATCATTTTGATGTGCTGGGTGCAAGTTAATGATTTTATAAGATCACCTAAAGTGTATATGTACTAGGGGTGCAACTCGGCCGGGTTAGAAGGCCAACCCAACTCTAACCCAACTTTTACAATTCGGGTTCGGGTTCGGGTTCGAGTTGGGTTTTAATCGGGTTCGGGTTTACTTCGGTTGGTTTCGGGTTGCCCAACTTTTTCAAGTTTTAATCGGGTTCATGCAAAGTTTGAATTAAAATACAAGAAATACCAAAGCTAGTACTAAAAGAAGGAAAAAAAAAAAAAAAAAAAAAAGAAAAAAAAAAGAGGAACACTTCGTTGTCCAAAGCTAGTACCCAACTCAAGTCTTGTCTTTCGAAGCTCCTGTAGAAAAACAAAGCTAGTACCCAACTAAAGTCTTGTCCTTCGAAGCTCTTGCAAAAAAATCAAAGTGTGGCTGCCAGAAAAACAAGTGCTTTCTGCAACTCTTCTATCATAATCCATCAAAAGTCACTAGTGAATCCTCCACGAAGGTGAGAAGCATGTTGCATAGCTCAACCCAATCGGGTTTGGTTAATCAGGTTGGGTCGAGTTGGACAAATGATCAATCCAATCCAACCCAATCAATGAACGGGTTGAAATCGGATTGAGTTCGGACAGGTTATAACTAAAAAAAAACCCGTTTGTTTGGGTTTAAAGTCAGGTTGAACATGGACGGGTTCGGATTGGCCCAACCCAAGTTGCACCCCTAATATGTACATATGGTTCTATCACAATTTTGGCATTATTCTATGCTTGCATTGAGATAAGTATTGCAGAAACAGATCAAATTCCGACAAAAATATTACTAAAACACTCTAAATTTACTTCAAGTCCATATTTAATTTTTGTAATGCATTCCTAAACAATTTAAATTAAATTTCATAAAATTTTAAAATCTCTCTTATAAGCGCACTCTAAAATATATATTAAAAACATACATTATATTGAAGAATAATTTTTAACACATTAGAAAGCCATATATATTCATGAATTGTAAAATATAAAGGAAAAAAATGCATTTCGATAAATAAAATATGACCGTTTTTAAGTGTCAATAATAAATAAATATCTTCTTTCTATTGGATTTCTTAGGTTGCAGGTTGTAAAAACACACATAATATGTGTTTTAAGTGTAAATCTTTCGAGAGTTGTGCTATTCACACATCTCTTTTTACTTCCCACACACATGTTATTTTTGTTTAATGATTTTTCTCAATTTATTTGATCCGACAGACAAAAATTAAGAAGAATGTATGAGAAGTGAAAATAGTTGTGTGAAAAGCACTACCGTTATTTGAACGGTTCATAATTTTCATCAAAAGATGTACGGCGATTGGTTCAGTTTCTTGTGCAAAATTTTCTACCTTTAATCATAGAACAGCATTATCTGTCATATATGCAACGAAAAGCTTTATATGTGCAACTTTTTATGCTCTTTAATTTTATTTTGGGCAAAGCTAATTGTAGTGGTTGCATTATTTCGATGATCACGAACAACAATAATTGAAGGAGACTGTAGGACTATCGTGTTTTCTGAGCCGTCTGATAGCACTACATCATGGCTCTTCATGTGCCACACAACCCTACACTCCATATCTGAACCCTCTTCAGAACAGAAGCATTATTGCAGCACCATGATCAAGCTCCTTACCTAATTGATATCGAAAGAGTCGAGCACTGAATACGGACCTTGAAAGTAAGACAAACGATATTAATCACTTGAATTATAAGTAGATGATCTTAATCGCTTGAATTATAAGTAGATTTTCACGTTAATTTTTAAGGGCTATTCAATAATCATTTTGTCTTAAAAAAAAAAAAAAAAAAAAGACAAACGATATTAATCGCTTGAATTATAAGTAGATGATCTTAATCGCTTGAATTATAAGTAGATTTTCACGTTAATTTTTAAGGGCTATTCAATAATCATTTTGTCTTAAAAAAAAAAAAAAAAAAAAAAAGAGCCATTTTGTTTTGAACGAAATTATTCATTTATTAAAAACTGTTGATATACAACGGTAGAAGAGGAGACCTCATGGGACCGACTTATTAGGACGACTGCATGGTAGTCCTACTCATTGATAACTAGCGCGAGAGCGAGGGGGAGACAGATTGTCAGCCCTCTTGGTTTGGGTGTCATTCTCATCCCTTCTTATTTATGCGGTCACGGTTAAGTCACGTCAACATTTTATATTTCTATTGTTTTTTGTCTTATTATCTCTATAAAAAAATCAATATAAAATATTGACGCGCCTTAACCATGACCGCACAAAATAAAAAAGAATGAGAAGGACACCAAACAGAAAGGCAAACAATCAGCCTCTGAGCGAGGGACCGACTTTCTCAGAAAGGAAGACGCTCCTCCTGAAGTGGCCGTTGGAGGAAATTGGAATACTGTTATGGTCGGCTGCCGTTGGACACATGTTGACATCGCCTCGATCTGCAACCACATCTTCTTACCCCGCTTTGACGCAAGTTTGTCAGAGAAAAGCGGCATTTCTTCAAGCCTTAATTTGGGAACACATGGTTCTTACAATGCTCACGACTCATGAGATGATAATAAGTTTAGGACTTGATTAATTCTTGAAGCCTTACAAAATATGTACAACAAAATTATTTGATCACGAAATATTGACACACTTGTTGACACACTATATAAGAGGTGGGTCATACCATTGTATTTTGTCTGTGTTTGTATTACAAAGTGCGTAAAAAATGTGTATGTTTTATGTTTTCAAATAACATCACCCGGAAATATATGAAGACATCTTATTAAGTTCTTGGCTTAAAGTGTGGATATCATAAGTTTAAACATTGATAGATAGCAAGACTGATACACATCCTTCTACTCATGATAACAAAATGAGAAGAAGTATTGTGAGGACTTGTAACTCAAGTGACAAGGACAAGAAGCAAATGCACTTGACATGAAAAAGTTTAGCAAGGCTATATATACTAGAAGATATGAATATTTGGGCCAATTCACGTTTCTTGTTCTTTCTTTCTTTTTATTTTTTTTTTATTTTTTTATACAGAAGTATATATTTATAATAAGAGAGCGGGAAAATTAAATATTGATATTAAACTCGTTATTCACGAAATTCAAACATATTTTACTAAGAAAAACCCCATGATTGTAAAGCCCACAAAAACATTTAGGCCAGTGATGAAATTTTATGAGCCCGTGGCTTTCAACCCCAATGCCAAGATTGCAATTTGCAGTCCGTAACTGCCCCCATTTTACCCACCAAAACCCCATCTTATTCCTCTCTCTGTCTAAACGACCAACAACCATGGCGATCAAGCTTCTTGTTGCTTTGCTCTACATTCTCTTATCCACCACCGCTGCACAACCATGTTATCCTCTGTATTCCCAAGAGCTCATAAATTCAATGGGTCCCACTTTCTCACCTTTTTCTTCTTCTTCTTCTTCTTCCTTCCCTCCGACCCCAACAGCCTCAATCGAGTCAAACCCAACTCCCTTCGTCCCGGCGCTCTTTGTCATCGGAGACTCCTCCGTCGACTGTGGCACCAACAACTTCCTCGGAACCTTCGCCCATGCCGACCACCTCCCCTACGGGCGAGACTTCGATACCCACCAACCCATTGGGAGGTTCTGCAATGGCATAATCCCTGTTGATTATCTTGGTAATGTTGCTTCTTTAACCATTTTCTTGCTCAAATTCTAGTTTTTTTCATCTGGTTTTTTTCTAAATTCTTGATTCATTTAATTGTATTTATTTTTCTAAGAAATGCAGAGGTTGAGAGGAGCTTTTGATTTTCTTGGAACCCTCAATGGAAGACATCTAAAAATATAAGGATTTTTGTCCACCAATTTTCATTTCATGAAGGAATTTTCTGATGAAATTTTCTATCAAGATTTTCTCTCTGGATTTTTTTTTTCTATTAGCACTCCGTCTCGGGCTTCCTTTCATACCAAGTTATCTTGGACAGAACGGAAGAGTGGAAGAGATGATTCATGGATTGAATTTTGCGTCTGCCAGTGCTGGAATTATATTCACCAGCGGCTTAGAATTGGTAGTGCAACATGCTTCATTTTCCCCCCAATCATGCGTTTATCTGTTTAATATAATCTCTTTAATTAATATGTTTAATGTAGCATTTAAGGTTTCTTAATTCGAGTGTTGATGTAGTTTTTCCCTGCAGGGTTAACATGTTTCCTTCAGTTAGCAAGTTCAGCAGTTCACAGACATCTATCATTAGTTTATAATAAGTTTGGGGGAGCAAGCTACAATCGATCTCGTCTCAAATTCGATGCTTTACATTTCGATTGGAATCAACGACTACATACATTACTATTTGCACAATGTGTCCAACGTACAAAATCTGTACTTTCCCTGGGGTTTCAATCAGTTTCTAACATCCACATTGAGGTAGGAAATTAAGGTGATCTTTCGAATCACACTCAATTAGTTTCCTAATTCAGAGTTTTATCGATTACTCAGAGATTTCTGTGTATTTTGATGGTGCAGAACTTGTACAACATAAATGTGATGAAGGTGGTAGTAATGAGGCTCGCACTGATAGGCTGTGCACCTCACTATTTATCTCAGTACAGAGTGAAGGATGGACAATGTATTGAGGAGATAAACAACATGGTAATGGAGTTCAACTTTGTGATGAGGTATATGATCGAGGAGCTCCGCGAAGAGCTTCCCGTTACCAACATCATCTTCTACAATATGTTTGAAGGTTCCATGGATATCATAAAGAACTTTGCACATTACGGTGAAAGGTTTTCTAAACTTGTTAATTCCTATCAGTTACCGAAAAATTTCTTAGCAGAAAGTCTGTATACTAATGATGTGTGAATTTCATGATCTTGTTCAAGTTTCAATGAAACTACTGTTACTTTCTGTGGGTTAAGGGAGCACAAGGGTTTTGTCATGTGTTTATCACTGGATATGGCATGCAATGATGCTTCTAATCATGTCTGGTGGGATTAGTTCCATCCAACTGATGCAGTCAATGCCATCCTAGTTGATAATGTATGGAATGGCCTGCACACGAAAATGTGCTATCCAATGAACTTGGGGGATATGGTAGTATCGAGCTCCTATTGATGATGCGAGAATTATACGCACACAAATTAAACCCTCTTTTTGACAATTGTAGTAAGTATGTAAGTAGGGATCGTTCTGGACCGGGGATTAGGAGGGATTGTTAATCACTTGATTTGACTCAAAAACGTAAAAACAAGTTTAAAACTCTATACTAGACTCAAAGAATGCAAAACTCAAAATAAGATAAATTAAGACTAAGACTTAAACAAAATATGGGGGGGGGATTGAGGTTTGGACGAGATTAAACTAAAATGGATAGATTGCAAAGAAAACAAATTGTAAATACGAATTTAATGGAATTGAATGGATGGGAAGCTAGCTAAGGGGTTCATCTCCACACATGTTATACTTGAATACAAAATGATTTCTAATTGCTTTTCAATAAACCATGAATTCTCAACACCCCGGGTTAATTAGGTTCGCTTAAATTAACCGTCAAGTTTTCCTTAAGTTAATGAATTGGATGATTGCATACGACAACCCAAAGCATTCCCCACAAGTTCCCTACATGAATTGCATAATAGAGATACAAGCAAGAATCATTAAGTTCTTTGAAAACCATAAGTGTTGACGAGGCATTCGTTACTATGAATTGCATGAAACTTATGCCAAGAATTTACTTAACGCGATTGTTTATAAGCAACCTCCACTACTTGTGAATATAAGTTTATAACTATTAGGTGAAACTTACTTATATTCTAGCGTCATATTCATGCATGAAAATTAAGCGTGCACTCTCAATAAACATACATAAATAGGTTATCACTCAAATAGTTAAACAAATTGAATCCACAACTTATGAAACGCAATTGGAAGTAATCAAATCATATTGCAAGCATAAACATGTATTTCGAATCCCCCCTAGCTAAGGGGGGTTTAGTTCCTCATACGTACAAAACAAAGAGAATTGAAATTAAACATTGGAATCGAGGAAAAGAAACACCTAAACATTCCAACAACTCAAACTTGAATTGTATGAACGTTTAGGCACACTTCTCCTCCTCTTTGTTGTAGCATAAGGTCTAAGGAAAGATTTTGGATTGGTGTTTGTATGGAGGGATGGTTGGATAGTGTTTTGGAGGGTTGGGGAGTGATGGAAATGGAAGAGGAGTGGTGTTTGGATTATAAGGGAAGGCACGGCAACAAGGTTGCTGTTTGTGTTTGGTAATGAGAATGGAGAGTGAATTGAATTGTGAATGACAATTGAATGAAGTGTGTGTGGTTTTTGTAGGGAGAGAATGGATGGGAGAGCATGTGAATGATAGCTAGGAGAATGATTAAAGGGGTGTTGCTAGGTTGGAAATGCATGTGGATTAGGTGGAATGTATAAGGGGTACACGGCACAAAGGAGTTGTTGGTGCTGGAATTGCATGTGTGTGCATGTGAAAGCTGGAAATGGGATGGGTAGCCACGGCATTGACTTGTTTTTGTGCTTGAAATGCATGTGAATTGCATGTGAGTGCATGTGTGTGTGAATGGTGGTAGCTAGGGTGAATTATGATGAATGCATGTGAGTGACAACTAGGTTAGTTGGTGGAAATCTGAAAATGGCATAAGGGATGCATGGCATTGGCAGTTTTTGTGCTTGAAATGCATGTGAATGCATGTGAGTGCATGTGTGTGTGAATGGTGGTTTTGCATGGCTTTGATGGATTGTTTGATTGGGCTAGAGGTTTTACATGGCTCAAAGGATTGTTTGATTGGGCTAGGCCCTTTGTTTTATGTCCTAAAGTGCATAAATGGCCTTCAATTTCGTCCATCCTCTTGGCTCCATGGTTAAGCTATCCAATCCATGCCCAAAAATGCTCCAAATAGCCTCAAAATGCACTTTCTTGCTCCCTTTGCCATTAGGACCTAAAAACAAATGAAAATAGCTTAAACTACTAAAACAACTATGAATTAACAACATAAATGCACGAAAACAAGTTAAGTAAGTCGCCTAAATATGCTCCTATCAATTGATTCTATGGAAAAGCTGTAGCAATGGCCATACTCTCTATAAAACAAAGATCAAACAGAGAAGCTCCTCGAAATTTTTGTCACTATACTTTTTGCATCAACTGTTTACAACATTAAATCGTACATATCAGTATACAAATGACATTACTAAAAGTGCATTGTATATGTTTTACCTTTTGGTAATGCAATGGGATCCGATTTAGAGGTAGATGTTATTGCTGTCTTCATTGTCTGTTTTCATCACGAAACTAGGAAATGAGGTTATGATGTCCTTGCATTGAATGAAAAATTCTATCAGCTTTGACATAGCGTTTTGATGGTTGTAAGGTTTTACTTGAATTGTAATGAAACATAAAATTAGATATTGGTAAAGGTGGAAATACTTGAGGTATGGAATTGTCATGTTCTTCAATAAGGACGGATTGCAATTCACGAGCTCATTCCACTCTTTGAGATCAATCTTTTCGTCTCCCTTTAAGTCTGCTTCCTCAAATGTCTATAGAGTTTCAAACCAAAAGATGAACTTATTCGATAACTGATTACATGTAGCCTTTTAAATCTTGCATGTCTTACCTTATCAATTATCACTTCAACACTGTCATTAGACAGGATCAAGTCCGACTCTTTCAAAAGCTCGAGAACCATTTCTTTCACCTTTCATAATGTACCTCAAACGATTAGTACCTTATCTGTATATATCTACTAATTCAATTAAATGCTTAGAAGTAAGATTTGATATGTCTTCTCAAGGTGTTCGCGTTAATCATTTCGTTAAACAACTTAATCATTTTGTTTACCTTTTTGCGTTCGATGAAGCTTGTCTGCCATATATCATACAATTGATATGCAACTGCCAAATCATATGCCAAACTTTTTTATGCAATCTTTCATACTTATTGCCACATGCATTCAAATGAAAGAAAAAAAATCTGCAGGGTTTCTTACATTAGCCTTCTCTGCTTGGGGTGCTTCCAGGTGGAATACACTCAGACATCGAACAAACTCTTCGAATTCTATCACCCCATCACGTTTCGTGTCAAACATATGGAAGACCTATTAGGTTAAGCAATGCAAAGATGAGTTGTCCGAAAACAAACAGAATGTTTTCACTAGCAGTAAAAGATCAGCATTTCGAATTTAGAAAAACTTAGGCCACAAAGCTCACCCTATGACACGACGCGTAAAATGATACCGAATCACAGGATGAAAATCTTACAACGAGTAAATTAACTTATAGAAGAGATGAAGCTTATTACTTTGCTTATAAGGCCATCATCAACTATAGAACTGCTCAACTTCCTCAACAACTCGTACAAAGATTTAATCTCATTTACCTTAACTGCAAAAACCAAATAATGTAAATGTACACAGTAAATTCCAATTAACAAGTCAGTTTAATTTAAATGAAGAAGCTTAGTTACAGCAGGTTTGAGAAGCAAGAACTGCTAAGTTTTCACATTTAAGTCTCTGCTTCATGCAAACACAACCCATTCTAAACGCTTTACGGATAAAAAAACTGTCTTCAGTTGGAAAAGATTAGTACAGATTGATCTTAAATGTTTTTTAAAAAATCTAGAGTCGAGAGAGCTTGTGCAAACGTGGACTTTGCACGTTTCTCTGACGGTTCATGAGCTTCCAACGTGAGAGCTTGTTGGGGAGGGTTTTGTAGTTGTACAATACAATGTGCCCTAGAAATGGGTAGGTCACATTATATAACCCTATAAGCGTCACACTTTGTCAGCAAGGAGGTATGTTTACCCTCACTCCTTGTTTCTATTGATTTATGGGATGGAAAACTATACGAAGTTAGTGCCAGAAACATGTTTCGAATTACTTGAGTGACAAATCTTGTAACTTTTTTTTAGAGGTGGCACGTTACAACTCATGTATAAGTTCACATATGAAGTTTTCCCAAAAGCTAGTGGAACTTACCGTTTGTGCTTTCGAAGATTGAATTCAAATCTCATAAACGACAGTTACTGACTGACCAACGAAAGTCAAATATTTTGTATGGCTTATGTTGAAACAAGTGTTTGGCGAATGGTACGATGACAACAATTTAGGGCTCGTTGGGATGTGCTTTTAAAATGATTGAAAGCACTTTTAGAGAAAATGTTTTTTTGGTTCCAAAAGCACTTAAAGTGCTTTTCCAGAATTTACTTGCATTTTACTAAGGATTGGTTCCAAAAACATTTTCACCAAAAGCACCTTCAGTTATTTTAAAATCATATCCAAACGAGCACTTATATGGGCAGATGCTAATGTGACAATTAACGAATAATTCTATAACAGTTACATACGTTATTGGCGTGGATTTATGGAGTATTATATGAAAAAAGAAGGGTGAATATAGTGTGAGGGCTTAAATATTTGAGCTCACCAATTAAATTCTAACTTGTAACTTGTAAGCATTTCCACATGCATTGATTGAAGACCAACAAATTAATTCCCTAGCAATGCTCATTGTTTTAGATTTGAAATTTTGGAATCTGGTTCTTCTCTTTAATAAGTTCTCTTGGAAAAACACTCCTTGTACAATAAATCTTAGGCTGATTTTAAGAGACGTGGACGTAAACGTCGACTATTAGTTTTTGCTGATTGATGTGAGTTTCTCGATAATTAGTCATATCAAATTAGGTATCCAGTTTGAGTGTTTTCCTAAAAAGATAACATGATTGATTGATAATATCTTAGCAAAATTTGGAAAGAAAAGAAATATTTGTTGCAAAGGCAGTGTTGTACCAAATTCGGCTATTTTCAACAATGTTTCCACCTGACAACTCCTGGCACCCTACAAGAACAATGGGTAAACGAAGACAGATCAATTCCCTTTTGTTCTTAGGTACAAATCAATTCCATTTAAAGAAAGGAAAACTAATGAAAAGGGCTTGAAAACTTTGAATTTTAATGATAAGGACAAAATAAAGGGTAAAGTGAATAGTATCAAGATTGACTTTTTAGTGTAAAAATGTGATTTTTCGTTAAAGTAAACAGTACTGTGGGCTTTTCGTTTAAACTCCCTTTAAAGAATGGTTATGCCAGGGGGGAATTCTCACTCCGGCTGTAATCAAGCCTTGGCCAAGGAAGATTGTTTATTTGGCTGAAGAAGAAGTTAGGTCACCTATTCGTTTGGCTGAGACAGAAAATTTGGTTGGCTTAGAAGAACATCTTCGAAGTTTAACTCAAAAGATGATTCATCAGAGCAATGTTCCAATGACGAACAAGGCCAAAACACAACCTCCGATGCAAACACCATGTCAATCAATATGGTTATTGGAGATAAAGCCGATGTGAAACAATTCCATTCAGCTGAACTGTTTGGGTTAAAAGCCAAAATCGGCGAAGTGATTATGCTTTGTTTGGGGAGGGGGGAGGAGGGAAAGGGGGGCAATAATAGCTTAATGCATTTGGTGTCCAAGAATAAAAAGTATTTGGCCAAGTCAAGAATATTTGAAGATGATTCTTTATTCAGCTTGAAGCGAGATTGGATTGAAAACGTTGGCATAAAAAGGTGTCGACTAGTAAGAAAGTATCATTGGCCTCCTCCTCATCATAACCTTTATTTTCATTTGCTCAAAAAATAATAACTTTTGTTTCCTTTACCATTCAATTGCACAAACTGATACTCAAGAAAATAAGGGAAGCAAAATAGTATGCTCACTAGTGAAATACAAAAAGGGATGCGGTCGAATAAAAGAAAAGGAGAACTAATGAAAATGACTTGAAAACTTTGAGTTTTAACGATAAGAACAAAATAAAAGGTAAAGTGAATAGTATCAGGATTGACTTTTTAGTGTAAAAATATAGTCGTTAAGAAGAGATAGTTGACTGCTAACCCATGGAAAATGAGTCTCAAGAAAAGCAAGGAAAAGCAAAGTGGCATGCCGACTTGCAAACGGTTTAGCTTTAACCCTGTTAATGGTTTACATTATTGGTTGATAGAGAATCAAAGTAGATTTACCAATGAATCGCGAAATGCTATGGTTCTTCAATTTTTTTTTTCAAAAGAAATTCGTGCCTACTTTTGGGCTTCGAAATGTGATTGAGCCTGTGTGTAAAATTATTGGGCCCTAACACACACAAGTCATCAAGCCTCTCACACCTCTTTGAACTAAATTAAATTTCCTATTGTAGGAATATAACTCTTAGTTTATTTCTTTGACCAGACCAATTGGTGATACGTGACCATACTGACAAAGTTAGTGCAACAGGGAGGATGGAGCTAGGTAGAGGGCACGATGCAAGTGGTGAGAGAGTTTTTGTGTGTGCAATCTATAGGCGAACACGACTTATAGTCTGAACGTTAGTACTTAAGGAGAGGTTTTCCAGTGTACTCGAAACACAGGTCGGTATGCCATGTGTTATAATACAAGTGACAAAGCGCTTATGTTATGACACCATACAAGTGAAAAAATGATTATGTTATGACACATCATGTACTGATTTGTATTCTCTAATTTGTGTTCGTTCTGAGTACATGAAAAAAATCTCTCATACCCTAGCATTTCACTCTCCTTAATTTTTTTTACGTGACAGTTGGGCCGTTGAATCATGTGGGCCTCAGGGGTATTATGGTGATATTTTGAGCCCAGATAATGATATCATAGCATTTCATTGGCCTTACAGACGTTAATTTCTTTTGGGCCTTGTCATCCCGTTGGGTGGTAAGCGGTAACAAACGCTTCCAACTTCCAAGTTTCCGAGTTTCCAACACCCTGGCGTCGATCATCCCCCCATCGCTCTCTCCTCCCAAAAATACACAGACGTGGCGGTCTCTCTCGTTCACCGGTAACCTCTCCGCTCTCGTCGCTTCCATTTCATTTCCTTCTTTCCAATTTTGACCTCTGCGATTCTAGTTATTTTCATAGTCAAACAGCTGATCTCCAAATTATACAAAATCCGATTTTTATTTCTTCTAATTTTTCGTAATTGTTTGTTTAATTAGGTTTTAATTAAGCTGCGAGTTCTTTGGTTAGACAATGGAGGTGGATTTAGTTACAAGTGGCATACAAGAGGAAGAAGCTTTTGGAGTTGATGAGAATTATCACAATGTAAGCTTCAAGTTCAATTTTTTATTTTTTTTATTGAGCTGTTGCAAGTAGTTTTCATGCAATTGAAACTTTATTCATTTTGTTAAGATTGAAATGATCATTTTTGGAAATTCAATTACTGAAATTTGAAGAGCTGCGGTGTATGGTTGAACCGTTTTCATGTAGTGTTAATCGTGACCTGCTTGTTCGTGTGTTTAGATACGCAAGTTAAGTGTAGCTGCTTGGTTTCGTATGTGTAAGAGATTAACTTTTTTATTTTACCGTCATAATGTGCAGGACAATCCTAATTTCGAGGGTGAAACATGTGGGATATGCATGAATGCTATTATCGACAGGGGTGTTCTTGATTGCTGCCAGCACTGGTATGTGTTTTAGACTGTGGCTTTGTATGTGTGTGTGTGTGTGTGTGTGTGTGTGTGTGTGTGAGATAGAGAGAGAGAGAGAGAGAGAGAGAGAGAGAGAGAGCGATAAGAATTTTGTTTAATGACATGGGTTCATCTTGTGGTTTTCCAGGTTCTGTTTCGCATGCATTGACAATTGGGCTACCATTACAAACCTCTGCCCGCTTTGCCAGAATGAATTCCAAATGATCACATGTCTTCCAGTGAGTGGTGCAAATAAAAAGTTATTTTCTTTTTTCTTTGTTCTCATCCTTGTTGTATCGTTTTAGTATTATTTCCGTTATGAACTTATGCGTGATATGGATAATAGAATTATATTAATGTACAACTTTTTCAAAGCACAGTTGTTACTTTGATTTCTAAACTGTCTGTTTTCGATAGTGTTCTTTTTGTTGCAATGGAAATTTTGTTTTGAAGTTTTCTTGAATTAGTGAGTTGATGCTGTTTCAAAGTGGTGCTAAAGCATATGAGTTTAATTCAATGTCAAGGTATATGATACGATTGGGAGCAGCAAAGTGGACGAGGACTCAACTTATAGGTACTTTGGTAATTAAGGATAATACGTATTTTGGTAATTAAGGATAATGCATTTAAGTATACTGGTGAGGATTTGTTCACATTTTTATGTGGCTTAGTCTCTTACACATGGTTTTCTTTGACTTACTACTCGTATGTAGCGTTCATATGAAATTTGAATTCAAGGAATGTGTTATCGAATTCACAATCAAGACATTTGTTTTGTGAACAAGTTTCAACGGAGACTAATTTTTCAATATTCATCTGTGCAGTGATGATGACTGGAGTATTGAAGGGAAGAATAACACACTCTCATTTCCATCATACTACATTGATGAAAATGTAATTATCCTTGCACGTATTCTTTTTAAAATACTCTTGCAATCCTCATAATTTCTTTCAAAGGTTTTTTTTATTAAACTTGGTGACCACTCACACCTGTGTTTCCAAGAAGATTGTACATTTACACTTGTGGTTTTTTGTTCTAAATTTGTTTTCCTTAAATGATTCTACATTTGAATCCCATGAGTCAGGACCCATGAGTTATGAATTTTAGTTCGTTCCCCGGGTTTCTTAAGTGCCATGCATCAATATCTTTTGAAGACCCAGTGCTTTGGTCGTACAACAGAGATGTGGTGTTGTGCTTATAAGCATCATTAGGGAAATATGTAGCTGTTCCCATTACACCAAGATGCATCCGAGAGGAGTTGAATTAGTACTTTATACAGGATATATGCTTTCTTATACAGGAGTGTTATGTGCTCCATGAAAAATAATCAAATAACAAAAGCTAAAAAGACGAGTTTGGAGGTTAATGTGGCTCTAAACTAAAGTAATGGTTAAAAGTAAGGCTAATGCTAGGTGTTGAAAAAGACTTTTCAAGTCATTCCCATTTAGATCCGATTCAGAAACCCCCATTGTTTCCTTTTCTTCCCAAGGCTGTTTGTCTTTATTTTGTCTTCAAGTTTACTTTTCAGCATTTGATCAAATGATATCACATTCTTTTGTTACTTTATCATTTTCTAGGCAATTTCCTGCTTGGATGGAGATGGCTGCAAAATTCGAAGTGGATCAGTGGCTATTGAGGGAGATTCCAATCTCGATACATCAATTGCTTGTGATTCATGTGACTTATGGTAAAGAATCAAGCAATGTGTTACATTAACTCTTTCCAAACGGATAAATGATTTTGTAAAAATGTTGTTTTCTAATTGCTTTTTGACTTGACTTGAGACAGGTACCATGCTTTCTGTGTGGGATTTGATCCGGAGGGCACATCTGAGAGTACATGGTTATGCCCCAGGTAAGTTACATGGAGATCATTCCTTTGTTCATTGGTGTTGCACTGTTGCTCCTTTGCCAAGTCTAGTCCGTGGCTTTTCCTTATAGCTTCAGTTTCATTAAATTATCAATAACAACTTGTCATGCATGTGCCAAGCGTTGGTGATAATTAAAATCAATGTTAATGGAGATAATTAGGTTGTGGGTCCTTTCTATGGGAGTTTTGTTTTTGTTGTGGAGATCCCTATCTTGAGTTGTCAACCAATTAGATTAAAAATTCAAATCAGGTAATGATACCATCTCATTTGTGACTCCGGGACAAAGACAACCATTTATGTTCACAATTGCTGCCAAGTAACAATCCCTCTACGCTTGGACTGATTAGTGAGCTTTGGTTATCTTTATTTATGTACTCAAGATTCAGGCATAATTGATTACAAAGTTCTCTTTTTTCCTAAAATTCCTAGGTCTCCTCTTTTCATATATCTTGTCATACTGATTTTTTTTTAATTATGGTTTTTTTTTTTTTTTTTTTGCCTTTCGTTCTGTAGATGTGTAGCTGATGAAATGACAAAAAAATCAGATGCAGATTCAGTACAGAGGTCTAACAGACAGTATGGTCCAGAAAATGCTAATGGTAAACCTGTAGCTGAGGATAATCTTTCTAGAAAGGTATCTGTATCTGTTGCTGATAGTGGTGAGACGGCTGTTGTGGTCTCAATGGTTGGCGAAAATCATTGGTTTGGAGGACCAAGTGAGAGCGTTTTGCCAACTGGTGAAGTTGGAAAGGACCTGGAAACTAAAGAATTGGTATCGTCTTCTGATGATAGCCACAAATTGAGAAAACTTTCCCCGGAAAGAACTATTAACCAACCAGTTATTGTAGCTCAGCAACTAAAACTGTCCATTTCCAATGATACCTCCAGTTTACCTTCAAATTCTTTAGCACAAAAGCCTAGTAGTTTTGATGGCATCATGAATCCTTCCGGAAAGTCCTTTAATGAATCACAGAGTGATAACAAACAGTCTGACAGTGACTCCAATATGGGTCTTCATCTTGGGTTATCTGTGGGCACATTTTTGTCTGGTAATTTACATATTTTTCCTTTTTTGAGCCTCCTCTATTTCATGTTAGGATAGTATATAGCTGAAGTTTTCATATGCTTATTGTTGAAATGTTTCTTGTTAATGGGTCTTCATACATTTTTGTCTGGTGATTTACAACAGTAACTCATGTACCATTTATTTATTGTTGAAATGTTTCTAGCTGACACTCTCGTACCAAAAGAAGTGATTGAGGATGTGAAACAGCATGATCCCTGGGAAGGATATTCACCAATAGGTATATTGAGACATTATTTACTGTGTTTAATTTTTCTTGGGAGCGGAACCAAACAGATTTCAAAAATTAAATTGTTTATTCACCAGTCACTCATGCGCTTTTCTTAATTATGGAAATGTTTTCAGCTGACGAGATTGTACCAGATACTAATTTGGATTCCCCTGGATCGACTGCTGGTGGAAAGAGAAAGCGAATTGATTGCAGGTCACTTGTCATTCTTATATGGTTTTCAGCAATTAGTGCTAGCTATGTAACCTCAGGTTTTGTTACTGCTATCCTCTTTCATATTATGTCACCATCAGTTGTGTAATTGTCGATATAGTATTCCTAAATTATGTTGGATGTATTTTTTTCTACTACCCTCAACTCTGCATGTCACCGATGTTTCTTACATTAAGTTGGATGTTTTGTGTTTCCATTATCCATAGTAGACCTTGATTCATTCAGATGGCATGTTTCTCGTGTATTAGATTTTGGGTTCATAGGGCTTATCTCTTTTTCTTGTCTTTTGGTTTCCAGTAAGGTGGTAACTATATTTCTAATTCCATTGTATTATGGTAGTTTGTAGATTAAACCAAACCAGCATGTTTTTGTGCAATTATTGTCTTATAACTTATTCACATTAAAAATACATGCATGCAACACAAATTTTCAATTTCTGCTTCCTCTTTATAGATTTCCTCAAAAGCTCTCTTTTATTTCCCTTTGATGCAATACAAACTCATCACGAAAATATCAAAAAGCATTAAGAAAATGTTGGCAGAAGTCAATTCAACTGGTTGAACAAAAATGCAGGTTAATTTAAGTGGTTTCACTATCCTCACATTTGTATCTTAGCCATCTTCTATTTTTATTGTCATTTTCTTGAAAAAATTGTATTTCAAATGTCGATTTGCTTGCTTTAGATGCTTCGTAGCAAGTAGAACAAGGGTTCTGACTTTATTTTACCTTGACTTTTTGAAATAATAGTGATGACGTCCATATTGATTATGGTGGAGATACTGACCCTGAGATTGAGACCAAAGTTTCTGTTAAGAAACTCAGAAAGGATGAGAAAACACAACCCACAGCTTCCAATGACCAAGCCAAAGAATCTGTTCCAGATGACTCTCAAAACTGTTCTATACTGACTGTAGCTCCTAAAGATAGTACGTTATCATCTCCTCCTGTTGAGGGGAACACCACTTCCGATATAATGAGCATTGTTCGAACTACGAAGCGTAAATCTTCTAAGGGCCTTGCAAGCTCTAATCCTGCAGATAAATTATCACAAGAACAAGAAACTGTGCCTGGTTTGAGAGTCAAAAAGATCATGAGGAGAGCCGCTGAGGACAAGGACTCGTCTGTGACAGTTCAGACACTGAGAAAAGAAATAAGAGAAGCTGTTGGTAAAATTTCTTCAAAAGGTATTGGCGAAAACCTTTTCAATCCAAAGCTTCTTCATGCCTTCAGGACCGCTGTAGCAGGACCTCAAACTGAACCTGTTAAGAAGGTACCAGATTTGGCACCGAAGGCAAGGAAGGCAATGTTGCAGAAGGGAAAAGTACGTGAGAATCTAACAAAGAAGATTTATGGGACATCAAATGGAAGAAGAAAACATGCATGGGACCGGGACTGGCAAATTGAATTTTGGAAGCACCGCTGCATAGGAACTACAGAGCCTGAAAAGATTGAGACTTTGAAGTCAGTCCTTAACCTTCTGAAAGAGAGGTCAGAGCGTGCAGATACAGAGCAGGAGTCCGATAAGCAGTCCACAAATCCAATTCTTTCCAGGTTGTATTTAGCAGATATATCTGTACTCCCAAGAAAAGATGATATTAAGCCTCTCTTAGCTCTTAAAACTGGTGGTAATTCAGAGCAGAATAGTAAACAGCTTACCTTGAAGGAAAATTCTTCCAAGTCATCTCTTAATGTTTCTACATCAAATTCCACAGAAACGAATAAGGTTTCATCAAAAGGCAGGGCTCCTTCATTGGAGAAATATGGGAATAAGAATAATGTTCCGAGCTCAGAGAATGGTGCTGCACCTAACAAAGTACATCAAGACAAACGCTTGGAAGGGTCCTTGGTTTCTTCATCTGGTGCTTCCAAATCCAAAACCACGAGTGAAGTGGTTGATAAAACTGGAGATGTAAAAACTGACAAAAGAAAATGGGCTCTAGAGATTCTTGCCAGGAAAAGTGGTGCTGGCACGAACACGACAAATGAAAAACAGGAAGATAACACACTCAAAGCAAATTACCCTTTGCTAGTATGTAACAGCTTTACTTTTAAAACCATTCGTTTATGCTGTTTGGCTCTGCAGATTATATAATATAATTTTGTGATTGCTTTGAGCAGGCTCAATTGCCGATAGACATGAGACCAGTTTTGGCATCCAGTCGTCATAATAAGATCCCCTTATCAGTGAGGCAGGTAAGAACTTCTTTGTGTATGCTTCTATTAACCAAGATTGGTGCGTGTTAGATATTGATATAATTAAATCTCTTGTTAGGTTACTCTTATAAGTTCTATTTTATAATAAAAGGTTGGGAACATGAAAAGGGTGTTCTGCCTTCTGTTGGTCTTTGAATGGAAATTACAGGGGGAAAAAGTTTTGACTTTCTTATGAGGAAATGGTAGAAATGAACCTCGCCGCCTAATTTTGAATAAGCTTGCATGAGGAATGATTCATTAAGCAAACATATGCTAGGCATACAACTGCTTCCACCACCATCTCAATCAAACCACCACTCCGATGAGAGCATTAACATGAGTTTCTTAGGATATGTTAGTACGAATTAAAAAAAATCTTTTTAGCCTCATTTATTTGTTTAATTTCATGAAACTGGAGGCTAATTGGTGGTTTGGACTTGTTAATCATCTGCCTTGCAGGCACAGCTGTATCGTCTGACTGAGCACTTCTTGAAGAAAGCAAATCTGCCGGTGATCCGGAGAACTGCGGATACGGAGTTAGCTGTTGCAGATGCAATTAATATAGAAAAGGGGGTTGCTGATAGGTCAAGCAGCAAGCTAGTGTATACAAATCTATGTTCCCAGGAGATATTGCGTCGTTCAGAAAATAGGAAATCTAGTGCGGGTGCAGCCCCAGTACATGGTTCATCCCCATCTTCAGTCCCCACTGATAGAGCAGAACAAGCTGCCAATGAACTTTCAACCGATCGTGTAATTGAAGCAGCACTGAGAAATGCTGGTCTTCTGTCCGATTCTCCTCCAAATAGTCCACATCCTGATTTGGAAGTTCCTGCTGAAGAAGATGGCCCCGCAGCAGATATCAGAGAGGAAGGGCCTCATAATGTCTTTGAAATGGATTTTCAGCCTGATCTGGACATATATGGTGATTTTGAGTATAATTTGGAAGATGAAGACTACATTGGTGCCGCTGCTGCAAAAGTAACTAATCCACAACCAGACGAAGGGGCGCCGAAATTGAAATTGGTGTTCTCTACACTTCAGCCTGAAAGATCTAATCATAATCTAGATCTTGAGAAGCCTGAGACAATGGTTGAAGTACGAAAAGATTCTTCCAGCATGCTCGAGAATCATACTTGTTCAGGTTTGAAAAACTCCATCACGGAGGGTGCCAATGATGAGACTAGCGTTCCCTTGGAATCCTTATTCGGCAAAGAAGGTGAAGAGCTCACTGTTGCAGAATGTGAAGAATTATATGGACCCGATAAAGAACCACTGATAAAAAGTTTTCCAGAAGCATCAGAAAAGCTATCTGGATTGATTGACGAAGCTTTGGTTAAAGATAAAGATTCTGAAGAGAATGAAGATTGTGTGCCAAAGCCAAAGCCAAAGCCAAACCAAGCAGTAAAAACAAATGAATTGGGTAAGAAGAACAATGCGCAAAATATGCTTGTTGCCAGCGTTGGTTGCAACTCCTCTGCTGGAGAAGATTCAGTGAACCATCCACAACCAGGTGGAAATGTTAAAACTAAGAAGAAATCGAGTACGGAGTGCAACAATCAGTCTAATAGCAACAGTACTGTGTCTAAGAAGGTTTTTCCCAGCCACTTTTCCCTAAAACTTATACTTACCTTTAGATTGCTCCTTTCGTTCTGTAAATCCGCATGAACGGATTTTTCTGTTCATGAACTTAACGTAATTGAATTAGGAGAGTTTCTTCTCCAATACGTCATTTTGGCTGACTTGTTTCCAATCCTTCACAGGTGGAAGCCTACATTAAGGAGCACATCAGACCACTATGCAAGAGTGGCGTTATTACGGCTGAACAGTATAAGTGGGCTGTGGCGAAAACAACTGATAAGGTTATGAAATACCATTCTCAATCCAAGAATGCAAATTTCCTGATCAAGGAAGGTGAGAAGGTGAAGAAACTCGCCGAGCAGTACGTTGAGACAGCCCGACACAAGGAAGAAGCTGATCCTCTGTAACGACAGTCATTTTCAGCTCTCAAATTATTCACTTATTCAGAACCTCCACTGATCTGTAAATAGTTTCGAGAGACCTTATATAAGCACCCCGAACCCAAACATTGTATAAGTTGAGGAAGGAACTTGTGTCCGGGCGCTTATGATATATTCAGGTGAGTTTTCCTGCGTGAGCTTTTCGACCATATACAAGAATTTCATCACTTACTCTTGATGCAACTAAGAATCATGTAGTTAAAAATGGTATCACGGCCCTCTCCACTTGTGAGTAGGAGTTCTCAGTTCGACTTGCTTGGTTGGGGGTTTATTATCATTGTTGGTTCATTGTGTGACTTAGTCTAAATTCTCAACCCGTTAAATAAAATATCGTTGTATAAAAGAATAAAAGATAATTTAGCCAAAAATTAATAAAAACTTAATTATTTAAATATGTATCGATGACATATTTTTGTTTTAAACTTAAATCAATGATATATTTTTATTAATTAGGCCTAGATCAATGATGAATGTCATATAAGCTTTAAGTGATTATAAATACTAAGAATTTGACTTTTCTATCCATATTTACTTATCTCTGTTTATATTTTAACACAGTTATGTCCAACCAACCCTTAACTATCTCCTCTTCACTGTCTCCTCTCTCTCTCTCTCTCTCTCACTGCAACAAAATGTTTGAATTCATAGAACATGAAACAAACACTTCAAGGCAGTGTCGAAATCACATAAACTTTCAAATATCAAGGTACAATCACAAAACATGAAATAGACACTACAACACAGTGTTTGAATCCACATAAACTATTTGAATATTAATGCACAATCACAGAACATGAAACAAACAGTGCATTGTAATGTCTGAATCTACATAAGAGGAAACAGACAGTGTTGGAATCACAAACTTTTGAATATCAAAGTACAATTGTAGAACAAGAAACAAACGCTGCAATGTAGTGTCTAAATCCACGAAAACTATTTGAATATCAATGCCCAAGCACAAAACATGAGACAAACACTGCAACAAAGTGTCTGAATCCACATAATAAGAAATATAGACACCGCGTTGCAGTTGGTGGCTGTCACATGCTTTTTTGAATATCAATGTACAATCACAAAATAGGAAACAGAAACTGCAATACAGTGTCTGAATTCACAAAACATTTTGAATATCAATGTACAATCGTAGAACAGGAAATCGACATTGTGTTGCAATATCTGAATCCACAAAACTTAGAATTTGAAATGGAGTATATAACCTAAGAAAAATAGCATGATGAGTGGGGATTAGACTAAAGACATAGCCACCATGAATAAACATATATAGAGCCAACACATATATCCAAACAGACTAAATCTGTGATATGTCCAAACCAATTTTAACATCCAAACAAGCTTAAATTCAAAACCCAAAAAAGTGTATTGTGCAAAATTACAGCAAATTTCTCAAAAACACACCTCAAATAAACTAAAACATAAGAATTGAAGAACAAGAAGAAAATAGGAAGAAAAAAAAAACTTGATTGTGACTTCTCAGGCGCAAGTGCGAATCATTTGTCGGAATCGGGGCTAAAGTATGAATTCGTTTTGAGCATCACAAAGTTAACAAGACAAGTGTTGTGAGGCCAAAAAATGGAGGTTAAAGGTGGTGGGAGGCGATGGAGGTTGAAATTTGAGAGCGTTTTATGACTACAAGGCGATGGAGGTTGAAGTCTGAGAGTGTTTTGCGCGGTTTACAATGAGGGAGTTGAAGAGGTTGGGTGTTTTGAATGATAATGGTATGAATTGTAATTTTTATTTAATTGAGGTGTTTTAATGAGCTCGAGTTCCCTCTGTCTGTGGGGGTTTTTCTCTCCGTTTCTGAGAGAGTCGTAACAGCTAAGCTTCAATTTCTCACCCTCTCTTCCGTCTTTTCCACCCCCCTCAATAGTTTTTCCCTTCGATCATCGTTTTGAGAGTCGACGACCCGGGATTTTTCTTTTTACTTTCTGCGTTCCTCTCTCATCCTAGTCCCCATCTTGCAGCCACTTTCCCTCAACCCTAGACCCTCCATATTTCCACCACCAACCTGCAGATTCGTCCATTTCAATCATTTTCTTCGCTACCATCTTCCTTTTCCCTTAACTAAACACATCAGGTCTTGAAGTTTTGGGCTGCTTCTATTTGATGTGGATTAAGATTTTATCGGCTGTTTTTACTTTTGGGACTACTGCTTTTGATGCCTTCTTGTATCCGTTTACTGCTTGTGCCGTTCTTCGACTTTATCACATTTGTGGATTTCACATCTGCGGTGGTGGGTTTAGTTCAAGGGTCATGTTTGACTCATCATTTGATCGATTGAGGATGACGCTGGTTGCTGGCTCCTGTTGGATGCTACAACACCATCCTCTCCAGATCTACTGTTAAGGCTTCGATCTCTTATTTGACGCTCGGGTTTCTGGCGGCGGTGATAGTAGGAAGGTTGCAGAAGTTGATAGGGTTTTTGTGTGTTTTGGGTTTTTCATTAACTTCTTTTTACTTTTTCCACAGCTTTTTAGTTTTCGATTTTCGAATCAGATGAATTGAAGAAGATTAACGGAAAGAAATTAACAAGAATGTATAAATAGCAAAAAAAATGTGTGAAAAGCATACCTTGATTTTATATGAAATCACCCAAGAAATAAAAAGGAACCTTGTATAGAAAAACTCCATGTGCCTTCATAAAACACCGTCCTGGACTCTGGTTTTTACTACAAAACAACACCAAAATTTGCCAACGAGCTTCAAGGTAAGAAAACGAAACGACGCCAAAATTTGACACAAACAGACGGACATGTGAGCATTGAGCATAAGAGCAAGGGGCTTCAGATGCCACCAGCTGCATAGATTGGGTGCGCGCACCCCCTCCATTTAGTTGCCGTTGTCCTTCCAAATCCGGCCAGAGATCCGAAGCTTGAGCTCCTTCCTGTCTCCACCCGAGAAAAACAGTGCCATGTTACGCTGGATTATGAGACCGTCATGGCTGTTCTTGACCTTCTGATGGCTGTCACGGATGCTCCGAGGGGTTCCTTCCCATATTAGTTTCCTGCCGTTGCTGCCCACCTCCAGTCTGTAGCTGAAGCTTCGTGCCTCAGCTGCGTCGCCCATGAAGCGAAGGAATGCAATGTAGACCGGAGCTATGCCGAGGTGGAAGGCTTCAAAGTGCAGACAGAAGTACTTGTTGTAACAGTTAAACACCTAATAAAACATGAAGAACATGGAAGGTGAGCATCTAGGAAAACAAACGCATCGTTCTAGTTACCAATTTACCATAGACTCCACGAAGTGGGGCCAACCCATTTGGTAAAAAGGCTTCGTGCTCGTTTGGGGAGGTTTTTCTTGGAAATGTATATGCTCATAAGTGCTTTTATTAGAAGTAGAACAAAGTTCTTAGGGTCTATTTGCAATTGTTTTTGGAATGGCCATAAGCGCTTTATGACAACTAAAAGCGCTTCTGGTTGCATTAGTAGGGAATTTTAAAATATTTTCGATTATAAAAACGCTTTCTGGAGAAGCATTTGTCAGATGTTTTCTCAATAAAATACTCACAAGGGCTTTTCTTCATACTCAGATTTTTATTGAAAATTTCAACATGTTTCTAACAGCATTTTTAGTAGAAGTAATTCTACAAAAGCAATCCTAAACGACAAAGCGCTTTTGGAAGTGCTTTTTGAAGTACTTCTTTATAAAGCATGCACTAAAAATTGCTTTTATAATCCTTACGACTTTATGCTAAACATCTAAAACAGTGTCAAACAAACCCTTCATTATCACTTGCTCTAAACTACTCTAAATTCATTCTCAATTTCAACAAATCAAAATTTAAACAACGAAACAACACTTACCATAAGCATCCTTGCTGCACACTCCACTTCAAGGCGATTCGACTTAACATAGAGGTGATTAAACGTAGGCCCAACGTGTAAGTCAACCTTGTGATTTTCTCTCAGATGGTCAACCAAAAAAGGAACATCCCCAACCTCTGAGCACTCATCAGATCCAGGATACGGGCAAGTGTATGGTCTGTAGTTGCAGTGAGCCTCATGCCTGAGTTTGATGTAGTAAGGGAAGATCTCCATGCACCCCAAAGAACAATACTTGCATGGAAGTTCTAGTGACTCTGCCACCTTCTCCAACGCCAGACATCGAATGTCTCCAAGTTTTTCTCGACACGCCGGGCACCGGTTCACCGTCAGCTTGCAGATTGAGCAAAGAGTGTGACCATTTGGGCACTGCAGAACAGACTTTTGGGATCAACTAATTTTAAGTTCTAACACACGTAATGTAAGTAGTCAATCTGAATGAAAGTATAGTAGCTACTGAAGATAAAACTTCACACCTGCTGGGCTATGCAAGTGGTAAGTAGGGGTGAATATCAGTATTGGACCAATTAGTAGTTGTTACTGGTCCGTCTTTGTGAAATATCTAACCTTGTGTTTTGAACGAGGGACTTTTAAAAATAATAGAGGGACTTTTAAAAACAATGGAGGGATTTGAAAATAACTTAGATCCAAAACATTTGAGAGAACTTAATTTCTAATGACACCTATCAATGTGTCATTTTGAAGGTCTTTTGTAGTGACACATCGACTAATTTATTGTGCACGTTTTGTAGTATTTTATAATGGTTTTATAGTGATTGAGTAATTCATTAATTGGTCTTTGTAGTGCATTAGGAAATACCCTCATCCTAGGTTTGCATTTCCTAAACCAATCAAAACTCGTCATAGTCACCAAAAGCAATCATAATAACTACAAAATAAAAAAATAAAAAAAAAGGGGGAAATTTTGAAAAGTAATCACATTTTGGACTCTTTAAAGACTTCTAGGCTTCTAGCCACTTGTTTTAGATTCAGAATTTTAACTACATGTGCTAGAAAGATTCGAGCGTTACTCTCAAGCAACCATCTGAAGATACGCTTGAAGGAGTCTTGAGTGGTTAGATTTCTAAATCCCAAAAAAAAAAAGGTTAAAAATCTTCAATGTGTTGACTAATTTCCAAAAATAAATAAATAAATGTCACCACATTATGGTAAATGATATAACTAAACACACCTGGTGGATTGGTGGGAACATGGACTTTGAGCAGACAGGGCATTCAAGAAGCTCATGAACTGTTGTGGCTGGACTCAATGCTCTGTTGTTGGACTTGGCCGGTGCCAAGAAACGGCGGCGGTGGTGGGAAGAGCGTCGGC